AGATAGATAGATAGATAGATAGATAGATAGATAGATAGATAGATAGATAGATAGATAGATAGATAGAGAGTTGTTCCTGGATGCCCGGCACCGAAGAGCTAATAGGCGTCAGGAACAGTTGTTCAGTTACAGGAGGTAATTGCACTCAGCTGGTGGTCATTAGGCTCCTCTCCAGACTATAAAAGGAATGCTTGTGCACACGTCCCTTTTGCAGAAGTCAATGCATGAACTAATGTGAGAGAACATTATTGTGAGCTTGGCAGGCTGGATTGCTGCCAAGGCTTATCTGTGCTGGTTTGCTGCCAAAACCTGTCTGTTAATAAATTCCAAAGTATCTTTGGCTCAGAGTGTGTTGGTGTGGGACGAGGGGGTTCAGAACAGACACTATACCTCTTTTTAGGCGTTACCATGTACAGGCTGCCCTGCTTTCACTTTTTAGCCAACTATGATAAGTTAGAGTAGTCTTTTAAAACCCCGCCCCATTTGAGATTTGAAAGCAAGTGACCCCCTAACTTTACAACATTCTCCTTTGACTTACGCCACATCTATTTGCCTACGAATACTTTAGTTTACACTTACCCTGATGTGATTTTTGCCAAGCCTCTCCCAGAGTTTGTCAGTTTTGGGGTTCACGGGTACAACAACGTGGTGCACGGTATCTGGGACAGAATCCTCGCCTTTCAAATCTACCCAAGTGGGGAAGTGCATAATCTTCTCAGATAACTTCTTTACATCAAATGAATGCAGAGTTGCGGAACACACAATGACCTTAAAGCACAAACAGTTTCAGGTTAAGGCCGAAAGTTTTAGAATGAGGGTGTCTGTACAGAGTGCACATTGTTATACACTTCATATCAGTTATTGAGCCTTGTATCACTGGCAATGATGACTGGAAGCATAGGCACATCTCAGTATTAAACTCTGAGATGTGGTACAATTTGCTGAAAAATCCGAAGCCTCTTAGACAATTATTTATGAGAAATCAAGATGGGGAGATGGCATTGTTTTGCTAACAGAAAGGGGGGTAGGGAAAATATCTGATTTGAACCTCTAATTAAATTTCTTCTTGGTTCCCCCCCCCCCTTGCTGATAGCATAAAATCCCACAAAGGTGTGGCTCAAAGGAAACTGGATTTACCAGATTCAATCCTCATTTATTTTCCTTCAAAAATCTGCAGGGCCGGGCATTTGTCCACATCTGCAAAGCGGAAGGAAAATGGTAGAGCTGCCCTCTGCCCTTCTGTTTTGGGAAACTGGCGGGATTCTGAAAATAACAGAAACATCTGTCCCCCTCAGCCTTTCCTCCCTCCTCTTATTAGGACAGTTGTCTTTCATTGTAACAGTATTGCCCTAAAGCCCCGAGCCACATTTTTTGTTCTACCAAAATGCCTATAACAAAATGGTTAAGTGAAAAATCAGGCTTATTGAATATGTACGATTTGTCACACATATAGTTTGAAGTCTTTTGTGATGACTTAGATGTGCGCGCATAAAACAAAAACAAAAGAGCAGTCAGCCTCTTTCTTTGGTTAGCATGGCCAGTTCTCCCTAGTGTCGTTTTCACTTGCAAAAGAAATAACTGATACAGGTAGTTGGATTGACACTGCTTTGGGAGATACAAAAGGCAATAAAAGGTTTTTATTATTTTTCACACCACTTTATAATGCAACTATCCCAGTCAACAGATACAGAATAAAGTATGTCTGCCTATGATTTGCTAAAACCCCACCGTCTAAAATTTACTTTCCCCTAAATAGAGACAGAAAAACAGATGAACATTTGCTAGATTATAATATTAGCAAATTTTAGAAAGTGTCAACGCAGAAATAGTAAGCGAACTTCATACCTGCAGCCTTTTCCCATCAGACGTTATCTGGGGAATCTGAGAATGAATGCGGTTGATGAAATCTGAATAACCTTGAGTAAGGAGGCCATCCTGTGTGGGGAACAGAGATGTTAACGCTCTCATTAGACTGCCTGGATTCTAAAGTTAAGATGTGTGGCTATTAGTTGGGTGATTCCATCAAATCGGGTTAACAAATTAGGACATGCCGTGAAAAAAAATCAGACAGATGAAAATGAGGACAGATGGCACCCACTCTGAATAGTTACAATTTATCTTGTTTGCGTGTCATGTCAGTCGGCTAGGAGACCCCAAGGGGAAATGGAGCCGATCAAGAGGTTAATTTGATTGGGTTGCCGCTCGTGTGTGTGTGTGTGTGTGTGAGAGAGAGAGAGAGAGAGAGAGAGAGAGAGAGAGAGAGAGAGAGAGAGAGAGAGAGAGAGAGAGAG